ACTAAATAGCGAGGTAGGGTTATAAGTTATGGCCAGTATCAGTTGTTGTGACGCTTGTGTCTCCCTGGTGAATAGGACAAGAAGTAATAGGCTTAAATTGCAGAAACACAAGTTAAGGTTAGAACCATGGTTAAGGGAAGAACTGTTTCTAAGGGTAAGAATATTGAAGCACTGAAATAGGTTGCTGGGGGAGAGAGTTGATCGTTGGTAGATTGATCTTTGGATGTGTCTATGAAGGTGTTAGTTAGACTAGTGAATCTCAGGAACGATGGCTGAGTACATCTTCATGTTTTAAGCAGGAAAGTGGACTAGATGACTGCTCAGTTACTAAAAACAGAACTTAGAGAATAAATTACTATTTTAAATTATTGCATGCAGGAAAAATGTTTGCCCTTCCTGCGCCCTCTTTCTTTTTGCCATTGGTGAGGAATGCAGCTTATTGCATCTTAGACGCAGTTAGATTGTACTTTCTAGGCAGCCCGCCTATTGTTATGTGAAAATATTCTTACGATTTGTATTTTCTGTGTTTTCTGATAAATTCACTAGTCTGTACATCTATCAGCAGTGGTTTAGAAGCAGCAGTCACCCATATATTAATGTGGGCTAATAGGAGGTGTCTAATCAGTGCACAGGAGCCCAATCTCTCAGCTGCTGTGCGACTGATGGCTCTGGGAAGCTGGTTGTGCGATGGACTCTGCACTTGTCAGCCCTGATGCCCAGGAGCTAGCTGGCTTTTGTGCTTTTCTTGTGGGGCTACAAATCTGCTTTACAGTTATTGATAAAAATCAGGTCACTGCAAGACATTGCGATATGAGGTACTGAATTATACAGCAAGACTCTTCTGCTGTGCCTAATAGACCGCCTCTGGAAAGACCATAGCCAAAATGTACATGCATGCCCTGTTCCTGGAGCTTTCAGAATAAGCAATTCCCAATTTAATTTTGGTTTTCTGCTTTCTACCTCGTTCTTCATAAAACTAATTCCAGCGGGTCACAACTGAGCAATTCCTCTTCCTATGCAGCCCCTGAATTTTCTGAAAAAATCAATAGTTTACTTAAAGCATGAATGTATATTATGCTGTATTGCACAAATAGTGAGTATATAATCTCAGTATTGTACTTTGTGGGAGGTCATAAACAGTTACAGATGCATGTTATCATGTTGAAAATAAAGCAATAGCTTCTCCAATAGAGAAGGTATTGTAGATACCTGTATGCGGGTCGGCATGCAGAGTGAAACTGGACAAGTTAACTTTCCCCATATTTAGCAATATGTTCTGCATTGCAGCATTTTAATTGTAGAAATACTTAATGCTTCAAAACCACAGTATTTTGAGAAAGCCATTGTCAATCAAGTGATACGTGTGTGCATGTGTCTTTTGGGGAATATTATAAACTCTGTTATAATATTCTGACCAGCTGGGCAACTGGTAAGACACAAAGCATACACTGTGCGTGCTACAGTTACTAGGCTTTATCAGTAAAATTTCGTCTTAATCTATAACTCAGAACCCCTCTAATCATTAGTGGGAATAGATTAATATCCAGGTAAATAGACTGTTGTTATCAGTGATCCATAAGACATAAATGCTCTGTTACAGGGCAAAGTAAAACTCAGTAATCTAAACACAGAGCTGCAATAATCTGTTTTTTGTTTTCAGTTCTGTAGGAACTGAACTGCTGGAAATGTTCTCAGAAAAAGATTAATACTTCATTGATGGAGCAGCTGAAATGGTCATTTTTATTAGAAGAGAAAAAATACCTTTTATTCTTTTATTATGGCCTGTGTCCCCTATTCAGTTTGGAAAACAAAAGGAAGAAGAATTCAACTCTCTATATGCATGCATGCATACATGCATACATATATATATATATATATATATAGTAGCACCTTTCTTCTATTACTTTAATCTTCAAAAATCATTTAGATCAAAGGTACCAATGACCAGTTTTGCAGTATAGCAAATAGTGCAGGGCATTCTGGTCTCATAACAAGGAGAGCATGGTATAGTCTCTCTCATGTATCACGTTTTTTTTAATGAGGTTCTACTGGTAATTTTTTTGCCAATAGAAGAATAAATTCAGCTAAATCACAGTATACACTTGAGTGCTGATGCCAGTTAACCAGCTCCATCATGTTGCTGGTAATTAGTTATTACTGTAAATAACACACACAAGATATCTCACTGGTAACGAATGCTGGTGTTTTTGTTTTGTTTCTGCTTTGTTTTGAAATGCGAGTGGTCTTTAGCAACAAAGATTATTCAGAGATCTCATACTGAGGTGCTGATGATCCCAAGTGTAGGAATCTCCACTTTCATAACAGAATCTGGGAGACGGATTAGTTTATAGCATAATAGCAACCTTGGTGATAGGCATAATTACGGAGAGGCTTGTAGCATCATTTGTAAGCGTCGCTCGGGGAAGTATACATTACTGCTTTAGTGTTCATGTCCTGTAGGTTTTTTCCACTGCAGTGCTGCTAATGAGATATTGTTCTTTCCAACCTGATGAAGCGCAGCTATTAAAATCACAACCCCAACGACAGATCCAAGCAATGACATTCATTGCACATTTAAATCCCGGTCCACAAGAGAAAAGTACACACAGGGCAATGCTTTTGTGTTGCTACCTCAGAAAAAAAAAATGTGGGCAGAACCGCATCTCTCCGTTACCCAGCTGCATTGGCCAGGAGTGGAAAAGGGCAGGTTCTGGAGCTGGGAGCTGCTGCTGGTGGTTTGTGCTCGTGGGAACACCTAGGCTGCTGGGACCTCCTCGGGCCAGGAGGTTCATGCGCTCGTTGGGTCTGGAAGGCAGCAGGGAACGCGGGCAGATGGATAGAGAAGAGAGCGCCTTCCTAGAGAGAAGCTGTGGGCATGCTGTAATGGATGGCAAGGAATTTTAACGGAATAAAAAATGTCCAAATATCCCAGCTTATGAAAAAACATAAGTGAGGACTTAACTCTGACCTTTCTATGCACCGAAGTCAATCAAATATGGGGCGGACAATCACAAGAAACTGGGCTTTGTTATTTCCTTTGCTGCTAAAACTGCTTGTGGGTTGTGGTCGGGCATGTCTTTTGGTGGACACCTGTTTAGACTTTGGGGAGTATTTTTTAGCAAGTTGATGCATTCCAGTGTGACTTCAGGCTGCGTGGCCAGCACCGCTCTCCTTCATCCTTTGGGATATCCATATTTTTGTGGAGGCAGTCTGAACCTTTTGGGTTGGACCTACTGCAGCCAACTGCTACAAACTGAGGCAATTAAGCAAGATTTTTTTTCCCATTTTTTTTTTCTGCAAAGATGACTCAACTTTTCTTGGTGGTATTCCCGACAAGTAAATACTAACAAGAACTTTGTCAGATGCTGCTAAGGTATTTTTATTGTTTTTGGTAAGGTCCCTGGGATTTTAAGTGATCTGTTAGCTCTGTTAAGATACCTGTTAGATCTGTTACAGATCTGTCTACCTCTGTTAGATCTGTTAAGATACCATTATCAGTTGTTTACATCTTGAAGTAACTTTTGTACTTGAAAACTGATCTCATAGAGGGAACAATACAAAAAGAAAACTTATTCTGATAGGAGCAGTGCAGGGAAACTGCTTTGACATAAGTAGCTGAGGGGACCAGGGTTCTGCTGGGGGAAAGGGTAGAAAATGGGGTAATTTTAATCTGCCTCCTTTCGTTGTGGGATTGGCGTCTTTTAAAACAGTATTTTTAACCTTATGGCTACTTAAATTTCCTGTTCTGTAAGTTGGTAGCTGCTTCATTTCCCAGCTTAGTGCACAGTGATTTTAGTTGCACTTTAGGCATTTTCTAGAGGAGTGGTGAGCTTTGTGGAAGTACCAAAGTATTGTGAATTCTTCAAAGCAGTCTTTTGAATCTGAAAAAAAACAAGAGCCAGGATTAAGGATTTAAAATTCATCCAACAGTGAATACTTCAAGACCTGTGTTTTGTACTTCCTTTTTATCCCTTGGGAAATTTTCTCCAAGTGTATTAGATTCTATTAAGTAAGATTCTATTGTTACTGTCAGAACATGCGAGGATATACAACTCTTTCCATTTTTCATTCTACTCAGTCAAAAAAAAAAAAAACCCAGAAAATAAAAGGTATTTTTATTAGCAGTGCTTACAAAACATTTCTGGAGAGTGGGTTATGTTCTTTCCATATCAGGCAAGGTTTGCCAACACTTTAATTTCTGAATGGTTGGTAGATAATGATGAATGTATTGGCTGAAGTGTTCTGAAGATACAGTAAAACTAATGAAGATTATTATGCTCTTGAGGTTTTTTTAAAAAAAAAAAATACGTATGTATATAATTATGACATGCATGGCCTACTTAGCATGCAGAATAATCCTTTTTCAGTAATGGAACTTGGCAACCTCAATATAAATAAAACAAGTAAATAAAAATTAATACCGCCAAGACTCTCTGGAATACCTTAGTTCGCCACCAGATGCATTGCCATGACATTTGTGAAAGCATGGCACCAAAATGCAGGAATTCAGCTCTTTGTAAAACTGTAAAGACTAGAATTTTCCGCTTAAATACATCAGGTATGTTTTATTTAGATTTTTTTTTCATGACCAGCTGTTACTCTCTGTTGGCTTCTGAGAAGCAATAATAGCAGGTTCAGCACATGACAGTAATGAATTTCCTAAACCTTAGGCCAAGTAACTTCTTCATTACTAAACCAAAATTCTTCTAATTCTTTTACTGACCCTTGAACAACATGATCTTTGAAGTGTTGTTACATATCTTAAATTCATTAAAAAGTAATGCTGTCTAAACAATAACTACTTTGTGACTACTCAAACTGTGTAAGTTGAGACTACTTCAGTATTTTCTGTGGTAACTATTTAAAAAATGCCCTAGACAATATACAAATTAGCATTTTTAAGTTGATCTTCACTTTGACTTGAAAGACTGTATACTTGTCAATGTACTGTGAAATGTATCTAAAATACTGATTTTTTTTCCCCCCCGTGTTCCATACAGGTGCATTCTGCTTCCCCTTTTGGGAATGAAGCCCCCTCAGCAGAGCCTCTTCCTGCTCGTAGACTCAGTCGACGAGGGCTGTAACGTCTCCGAGGGCGAACAGACTTCGACAAGTTTATCTGGGACAGTAGCAGAGCTTTTAGCTGGACACTTTGAGTTCTTCCCTCCCTGGCTGCTCCTTCTGTGTTCTGCCCGCAAGCAAAGCAAAGCTGTTACAAAAATGTTTACAGGTCAGTACAGACCGTAAAAAGTGTCCATCACCTGGTCACTCATGTCCTGTAACCACACATGGCTGAAAGTAATGATGATGCTTAATTCCAAAAAATGGTCATGACAGAAATGATAATGCTTAAAAAGAAATACAGGTTCCAGTTTACTGAGAACTGTGGGAAGCTTAAATCAGCAGAGTATTTTGGAGATATATCGTGTCTTTACAATACAACTTTGGTGGCTTTGAGTTTTTTTCTTTTCATGCTTTGCTTGTCCTAAAGAGCTTTGAGACAGGGTAAATGATGTGTTAGTACGTAAGCATGTCTGCTCTATACACCCATTTCTACAGTCTCAAAAGATTTTTCATATCATGTTAAAATCTCTCCCCTTTTTTTCAGATAGCAGGGAATAACTGCCTGAAGGCAGGACTTGGGAGAGTAACAGTGGAGATTTGGATTCTTAGAGTATATTTTTGGCAAAAGCTGCACAGTGAAGAATTCCTCATAACTTCTTTGTCCACGCTTTACTATGTCACAAGAACATTTCTTCACTATAATGACATTGTTTCTGGGTATTTTCTGAAATTCAGTAAAAGGCAATATCTAGACTGGATTCCAGGCCAACGCATAAAGCCTGTGTGTTTTAAGGCAACAATTAAGACAAAACGGTGATTATAGAGCCCAGACCCATAGGCTTTCTCATTTCCACAGTGGCAAAAGGTCAATGTGGTAATTGCATTTTGGAATGAAGCGCTGTATTAATCAGTAGCAGACATGAACAGTGGTATTTGGGAGAATGGGAGAACCAAATGAAACTCGGATAGTTTCATAGGGCTTCTTTGGATGGTCATATGGGAATAGTTTTGTCAAAACTTGGCTGATTAGGCACATAGTCATTGCCAAAAAAACAGACAAAACTTTCTTCGGGACCGTTTTATTTCCTTTCCATTGAATCATAGTAATACTGCAGACTAGTCCTTAAAAAATGCTGTTTTCTAAGTATGTTTCCAGTTGGATTTCTTGACAGGAAAAATCAGCAGAACTAATGGGTATGCCTTTAAAATAAATTTCATTTGATTGAGTTCTCATTTTCACAGAAAATGATTTGGTGAGTAGCATAATAAGGAAGTTGACTTGGCATATTCTAATGCCATCTTTGTGGTGGAAAACATATGAATAAGAAAGAATGAATCCCAAAGTAATTAGACACAAGTTGAGAGGAAATGTCTGGATCTATTTGTAGGAAGTAGGGTGGTTTTTCCACTATGATAGAAAACTATGACCTTACAGCCAATGTGAGTGTCCCACAGAGCGCTACTGGATAATTTTCCTATTTGCAGCCGTTTCTCAAGATTGCAAAAGACATAGTGCAAATGTGATGAGAGGATGGTGGCTGAAGCTTCTTTTAACTTCAGATGCATAGAGATTTTGTGCTTGAAAACACAAGGTAACGTTCATTTTGTTTTAGCCTGATAAGGTTAGACTGTCATTAACACTTTTACTGAGGCAAACTCCTCTGTTGCTATATTTGTGTGTTTACTTTTAGCTGAGCCAATTTTTTAAAGCTGATTCATGTGGTAGACCGTCAGAATTCAAGACTTGTGAGCTTCTGACAGAAGAAACAGAATATACTGCATTCTGCACTTTGGGACACTATTATGCTGAAATTTTCGTGCTTCCAATTTCCCAGCCCCAATTTCCCAAATACCCTTTGATAAGCCTAACTATAATATGAGCAAAACCTTCACATATCTAACTATAATATGAACACTGTAAGTTTTCTTCAGATGTATTTCTTCTATCCAAAAGAAAAAGTCCATTTTGCTGTAACTTAGTAAGATAGGTGGATATTTTTTTAGCATTTATGAGGAAAATGAGTCCCATCTGTAGTTTTTTTGTGCTCAAACTTTTAGAGTAAATCATGAAAGATATGCTAGCCATATCTTATTTATTTATAATCTATTTATATCAAGTTTCATTTAGCTTTTTATGTATTGAAAACTGCTTCCAGAAATCTGGTGAAATGAGAAATAAACCTGTTTGTTAGAAGGTTACTGCAGATGATCAGGAGAGGATTGCTGCCCTGCAATAGCATGGTCCTGGTGCTGTTTTTTTGAGGAGTGTCCAAAAAAGATGAGTGTTCTGCAAGCTTACGCCTAACAAAAATAGTTTGTGCATGGAAAAAAGAGCCCAGTCTTTGGTCTTTTAGTCACAGTTATCTTGCTGGTGCCAGTGGTAAATCGATCATTCCTGCCACCAGATACTGTGAAAATGAGAAAAAGAAGGAAGTTTATTCTCGTTGTTTGTGCCTTCACTTTTTTGGCAACTTATTTATGAAAGTTGGATAATTCTTCACTGTCTGCATCTGCAGTGGCTTGCATTCTGGGCCCTTGTGTATTCCAAGACTCCATAGTAGCACAATGTGCTACAGATTTTTCCTCTCACTTCAGAATCTCAGCTTTCATTAATTTAAAGGGGAGGAAAAAAAATAAAAGTTTTTTTGCCTCTTGTGGCTGCAAAGACAACCTCAAAAAAATATGAACCAAATGTAAATTGATGCCTGCATGAGCCTGTGGTCACCCTCCGCAGTGAGCAGAAATCAGCCAATTCAGTAAAAAAGAAGGGGGACAGATAATGCATGTCCTGCTGCCTCCTCTTGTATGTGAACTGTCACCAGCTACCGCTCCATGCCTGCTTGCTTTTCTCTTCCATCTTTTTCTTATTTAGCCATTTTCTCCTATGCATCCATAATTACCCAAGTCATCTCCTAGACTGTAATTTGCTGTCATTGGCCAACAAGCATGGGCTATTGAATAGTTACGTTAAACCCATTCTTTCTGACCTTTTATTAAAGTTTGCCGTATAGAAATAATAGAAATACAAAGTTCGTTTATATTTCTAGGTAACTGAAAAATCCCTGTACCCTGGAAGTAGCACAGAGCTTAATGTTTTTTGTTTGGTATTTTTCAGCTAATCTATGTTCTTCTAAAATGAGGTTAAATCTTGAAAAGAACACTAACCCTTAAACTAAATTCTTTTTTCAAAGATCTATCATACTGTTTTAAAAGCTTTAAATACTTTAAAATCAGACAGCTTTGTTTAGATACATTTGACTAAAAAACATTTATTTCCTTATTTAATAGCACAAAGATAAGTAATTAAAATGTTTCATATATTTATGCTTAAATATACTATTTCTTGGTTGAGAAAGACCTTTTTTAAAAGACGTTTACTTAATTAATTGAGCTACATTTCATTGGCATCTGCCTCAACGGAACACGAACGTTCTCACTCAGAAGAACTCAACCTCATACACAAGACAAAGGCTTTAGACCAGCATCAGAGACAGCATAAACTCCATTCGCCCACTTATCTGGAGGCAAAAGCAGAGGATAGGTCATTACTTTTCCTCTCTTCTATTTATCCATCATTTCAGATATCTTAAAAGCTGACAATTATCCTAATGTATTCTGGATGAGAAAGTCTGGGAGCATCAGTCTCCCTAGTCTCCCTAGGACTTTCACTGTTTGCTGGGTTTAGCCCTAATAGATGTTTAAAATAATTCTCATAGCCTTTCCTAAAATTAATAAATGAGCAAGAATATAAAAAAGTTGGAAGAATGCAATAAAAATTATAACCAGCTTCCCTACATGCAGAAGGTTGATGCCGTTGGGTTTATTCAAGCTACTGTCAGTCGCACTGGTGAATCTTCAAACCAGGTCCGTTGCCTGATTTGGAGCTGGGCCTTTTCTTCGGACGTGTGGGCTCTAAAAATGTGAATGGTGTGAGACTCCCCGGGGAGAGATTGTTTCAAAAAAATGTGAGTTGTCCTCTAATTTTTTCATTTGCAGCTGGAATTTATTCAGATAGTTTCATGTTGCTTTAAAGTCTTTCTGTTGAATTTTGACCATAAAAGATACAGCTGTTTGATAGCTGTATAGTTGTAAAATTTATTTCTCTATTCCTGTATTTGAAAACATTTGCTCAAAAGGCTTCAGACATAATTTGGGCAGACTTTTTCCCTATTAGCACATGGACATCATTTTAATTACTTGATACTTTCGCTTCTCACTCTTCTCTGATTAAGTCTTTGGAAAAAATGATACCAGGGAATATCACTAAATATTTCCTAAGAAAAGTGCAGTGTGCCTTTTGAAGAAAACTTCTCCACGATACATTTTTATTCTGTGCAAGGAAAGAGGGAAGATCTTATTTTTATGTGGACCGTTGTCAGTAAATTTAACTAATTAAGATTCTGTGCAACAACCTGGACCAGCGAGAGTGGCAGAATTCAGTCAAGACTGTTCCAGTGTCTCGAAGCATCTGTGCTGGATGTGATGAAATGTGAAATAAAATACACTGCAAACGTGCTAAAAGCCAACTGGGCTCCTTCAGTTTGCAGTGCTTCTTACTCTGCTTTTTGCTCTTTTTACTTATTCTTTTTGCACAGATGTGCATAAAAGGCCATAGAAATTCCTAATTCAATACATGCTTAGATCAGCAGTGTGTATTTTTAATGTCAATATATTGCCATGATTTTAATCATTTAGATTATTTTAAAGCTAACAATGCAGTTAAACAAATGAAATATATCACAGCCCATTTAATATATATGCAATAAAAATGTATATAGATAGTATCTTTAGAAGGATATTTTTAAGTATTTAGTGGACCCTCCTTTTATGGTTTTTTGAGTTTGAAAAGGTTGACATGCTGTAGAAGTATTTATATAGCCAAGAGTCATTTTTTTTTCCTTTGAATGACCCCAGACCCTGCCAAGAAGTACATTTGGAACTGATTTGTTTACAGAGCTGCCAGGAATTCAGTAAATCAGGAAAATCCATATTGGAGCTGCTCTGGGGCTGACTGTGTTGTGAGCAAACCTTCGCAGCGCAGCGCGGAGAGCCGGCCCGTGGGGCTGCGGCTGTGCCGGCTGCGCCGCTCTGCGCCCCGAGCCCTGCGCGGAGCGCGCTGCCTCACTGCTTGGGTGCTCCTGTCTGTGGAAACGGGCTGGAAAGCAGCTTTGCAGGATCTTTGTCGGGAAATGCAAGTTGGTCACGTTTAGATAGATGGCTCAGGAAAAAAAAAGAAAAAAGACCACAGCTTTGCTGTCTTTCAAACTAGCAAGAGGAATTTCAGATTTTTTATTAAAATACTTTCTATCTATAATGTCTTTTTTGTTCATTATAGTGGCAGTGGCTAAAATTGATATCCCATATCTGTTCAAAAGTCTGTTACAATAGCCAGTTTCTTCATCCCAATCCTTAGGTAGAACATATTCTGCAGGTATTGCAAAAATCTATATGACTGTAGCATTGCTGTTCTTACACAAGCTTGCCTTTCAATATGATGTGTAAGATTTCCTTGAGAAGGGCTATTTTGAAATATTTCAAGGGAGAGGGAGAAAAAAAACCTTTTCGTTTGAGTGAGCATAGAGCCAATCAAATTGTTTGGATAACTGAGTTCTGCTCTGAAGTGTTTGGCAATTTATTTGCTTGTCTGGAATGTTCAGATTTTTGGCATGTCCCAGGTGAGTACAGAATAGGGCAACAGTCTCAACTGCAACATGGAAAAAGTAATGATACAGGATCATTTAAAAAAAAATCCCTCTTCACCACCAGAGTTTCTGTTTGTTTGTTTCTGTGATCACATCACAACGTGGTTTCATTAGCTTTGCTACCTGTTTTGGGAAGCGAGCTTAAAATTGGTATTTGTAAAACCAGGCTGGATTCAAGATAAGCAGGAGCTCGCTGCTTTTGAAGCAGTCGAATTGCGCTGCACCCACGCACAGCCTGAAGAGCTGTTGTGCTGCGAGGGGGCGGTGAAGGCGGCGAGTCCTGCGCGGTGAGGAGCGCTCACGAGGCGGTCAGCACGGAGCACCAGCAGAAATGTCAGGATTGCTGCCGTAACGCATCTGCCAGGGGTTTTCTTACTTGCTGGAATGTAATTGGCTGCTGTAGAAAATTGATAAAGCATTAAGTTATTTTAAAAGCAAAAAGAACTTAAATATGCAAGAAGGAAAGGTAAGGGCGTGGGATTGACATGAAAGACTGGTGATATCACAAGGAAAATCATTTACAGCAAGATACCTTCAGAAGGAGTGTGCAGAGCCTTGCCTCTTCTTTCATATATGCATGAGATACAAGGTTTGCAAAGGGGAATACAGAGTATTTTAGTTAAGGGAGTAGTAAAACCATAATTTATGCCATTCTGCAAGCCAGGTTAGGACATTACTAGAAGTTGTGTTGAATTACGATGGATAAAGCAAGTTGTTTGGAGAGCTAAAAAACTTTGTACAGTAAAGAGCAATCACCCAAAATCTTGTTTTCTGTCTCCTTACCTTCTTGTTCAAAAATCTGTAAGTGGGACACTGCTATTACTGTGAAAAGTGTCTGTCTGATCCTACCAGATTATTTTATTTGGAGGAGGGGCACACTTGTGTTTTGTTGATTTAGCCCTGTTTAGATTCATACAGCTACTGTAACTAATAAAGTGGGATACTACAGCAGAAACGTCCCCAGAACTTGCCCCTTCATTTTAGTCTGTTATATTAGAACAGTCCTAATGGGGACTAAACAGTTAAGAGTGTACCAAATTTGATATTCAAGACCTTTACTAAAGGCATTCAGGAACAAACACACTGTTTAATTTTCAGGCTGAGTTTTCAGTTAAACAAGCTCATGACTGAGCAGTCTGATCCACACAGTGTTTAAATATAATAAAAACACTGGTCAGAAAATGACACTTTTCAAAATGGCACTTAAAACTGTTCTATAGAGATGGAGCCTGTATTGCATTGAATGGGTTACTAGATAATTGCTTTTCCTTCAGTATAATTTGGGGACTAGTAACTAATTTTGGTTCGAAAAGTGAATTTCTGTGACTGTATTAGCTGACTATAAGGGAACTTGCATATATGTGCAAGGTGCTATCCTGGTAGATGTGATCTGAACCTGCAGAAATGAGGTACAATTCTGGCCTAAGTGACAGTGTTAAGCTCAGTGGTTTAAGTTTCTGTTTCAGTAACTTCAGTGGTTTTCCTGTTTTAAATGTTTTTAACAACAGAGATCCGCTGTGCAGTCCATGTAACTATAATGTTGTTCATATGCTCTGTTCTGCGCTTCTGCCTCATTCTTGAGAGCTCTCTTGCTACTGAAATGGCTTTAGAGCCTTTTTCTCTGCGAGGATAACACACAGAGTCTGTATCTGTGTGGGTGTGCATGTGTATGCATCTAGGGAGGAGCCAACCCCGATGTACATACACATGCACCAAATAATTTCCCTTTTTTCTTGCAAGTGCAAACAGGTTGGAATAACAATGGGATCATACGACTGTGAGAAAACCCATACAATGAGTCACCTACCTGAGAGCTAGGGTGTCTATCTGTGACAGCCTTTATGTGGAAAATAATGTAATATTCAGTGAGCAGGGTTAAAGCTATTTTTAAGTATCACTCTTCATCATTAGGGCTTTAAAAAGAAACTAAGGCAGTCATGTTAGTCATTTGTTATATACATTTTATCATACAGGTGTACAAAGAGGGGAATGATCTTGTCTATAAGTTATTAATGCAGTAGTTGTCTTGATCTAAATAGCTGAAAATTATTTAGAGGAGCAGTGCTACCTAAATTAGAAAAAGGATTATTCCTTTAATTACATAATAATGTTTAATAATGTTATTTAGGTTGCAGTTCTAGCTTTGCTTTTTTGTTTTTACTTAGATGGCTAGCATTGTTCAAGGCAAACACAACATGTGAGTCAGTCACTTTGAAAACTTTCTTACTTAGTAATGCACATTTCTTTTTAAAGTAGATTATGATAAACCAATATCTGTATCTATTAAAGTGCTATTATTATAAATCTACATTCATTATCTGTACTTGCAAAGTACGTTGTTGTGGCCTGTTTCCCACCAGAAGTATTTCTCTCTCCCTTCAGTTTTTTTTCAGCTTTGAATCAAACTATATCGAAACCAAGTAATTTTCTTCTCTTCTAACAGGTTTTAGAAAAATAAGTCTGGATGATCTCCGAAAGGCTTATATTGTGAAAGACGTGCAGCAGTATATCCTGCATCGTTTAGATCAGGAAGAAGCACTGAGGCAGCACCTCACAAAGGAAACTGCAGAAATGCTCAATCAGCTTCACATCAAGAGCAGTGGTTGCTTTTTGTATCTGGAACGTGTACTGGATGGCGTCGTGGAGAATTTTATCATGCTACGAGAGATCCGCGATATTCCAGGGACATTAAATGGCCTCTATCTTTGGCTTTGTCAGAGACTTTTTGTGCGGAAACAATTTGCCAAGGTGCAGCCTATCCTTAATGTGATTCTTGCAGCGTGCAGGCCCTTAACCACCATGGAGTTGTATCATGCGGTGTGGACCAAAAATATGACACTCACTTTGGAAGATTTCCAGCGCAAGTTGGATGTGCTGTCAAAAGTCCTCGTTGATGGTCTTGGAAATACAAAAATTTTGTTTCATTACAGTTTTGCAGAATGGTTGCTGGATGTAAAGCACTGTACGCAGAAATACTTGTGTAATGCAGCTGAGGGACACAGAATGCTGGCCATGAGTTACACCTGCCGAGCAAAGGATTTAACGCCATTAGAAGCTCAAGAATTTGCATTGCACCTAATTAACTCCAACTTGCAGTTAGAAACTTCCGAGTTGGCCTTGTGGATGATATGGAACGGCACGCCTGTCAAAGACTCCCTGTGTACTCTAATTCCTAAAGAGCAAGAAGTATTGCAGCTGTTGGTGAAAGCCGGTGCTCACGTCAACAGTGAAGACGACCGCACGTCCTGCATCGTGCGGCAGGCTCTGGAAAGGGAGGATTCCATCCGTACCTTGCTGGACAACGGAGCCTCAGTAAACCAGTGCGACTCGAACGGGCGAACGCTCTTGGCCAACGCGGCGTACAGTGGCAATCTCGATGTGGTCAACCTGCTTGTTTCGCGGGGAGCGGATCTAGAGATAGAGGACACTCATGGGCAAACAGCACTTACCTTAGCGGCTCGGCAGGGGCACACCAAGGTCGTCAATTGCTTGATCGGGTGCGGTGCTAATGTTAATCACACGGATCACGATGGCTGGACAGCGCTGCGCTCCGCGGCATGGGGCGGGCACACGGAGGTGGTGTCTGCGCTCCTCTACGCGGGAGTCAAGGTGGACTGTGCCGATGCAGATAGCCGGACGGCGCTGCGAGCCGCAGCCTGGGGAGGGCACGAAGATATCGTGCTGAATCTGCTCCAACACGGGGCTGAAGTTAACAAGGCTGACAACGAGGGTCGAACGGCGCTGATTGCAGCAGCGTACATGGGGCATAAGGAGATCGTGGAGCACCTGCTGGACCACGGTGCGGAGGTAAACCACGAGGATGTGGATGGAAGGACTGCCTTGTCTGTCGCTGCGCTGTGTGTGCCGGCAAGTAAGGGCCACGCTTCCGTGGTTAGTCTTCTCATTGACCGTGGTGCTGAAGTCGACCACTGCGATAAGGACGGCATGACTCCGCTGCTCGTAGCTGCTTATGAAGGACACGTGGATGTTGTTGATCTGCTTCTGGAGGGAGGAGCTGATGTTGATCACACAGACAACAACGGCCGCACTCCCCTTCTGGCAGCTGCCTCCATGGGCCACGCGTCGGTTGTGAATACCCTCTTGTTCTGGGGTGCAGCTGTCGATAGCATCGATAGCGAAGGGAGAACCGTCCTGAGCATAGCCTCTGCACAGGGCAATGTGGAAGTGGTGCGGACTTTGCTGGACAGGGGGCTAGATGAAAACCATAGGGATGACGCAGGCTGGACCCCTTTGCACATGGCAGCTTTTGAAGGTCACCGGTTGATATGTGAGGCGCTTATAGAACAAGGTGCTAGAACAAATGAAATTGATAATGATGGCCGTATACCTTTCATTTTGGCTGCGCAGGAAGGTCACTATGATTGTGTGCAGATTTTACTGGAAAATAAATCTAGCATCGATCAGAGAGGCTATGATGGGAGAAATGCTCTCCGGGTTGCTGCTTTAGAAGGTCACAGAGATATAGTTGAGCTGCTGCTCAGCCATGGAGCAGATGTAAACTGCAAGGATGCCGATGGCCGACCAACGCTATATATCTTAGCACTAGAGAATCAGCTTACAATGGCTGAGTATTTTTTAGAAAACGGTGCAAACGTAGAAGCGAGTGATGCTGAAGGAAGAACAGCACTCCATGTTTCCTGCTGGCAGGGCCATTTGGAGATGGTGCAGGTGCTGATAACATACCATGCCGATGTGAACGCTGCAGATAACGAGAAGAGATCTGCTTTGCAGTCTGCTGCTTGGCAAGGTCACATGAAGGTGGTGCAGCTTTTAATCGAGCATGGAGCTCTGGTTGACCATACGTGTAACCAAGGTGCTACCGCCCTGTGCATCGCCGCCCAAGAGGGGCACATCGATGTGGTGCAAATATTACTGGAGCAGGGTGCTGACCCGAATCATGCGGACCAGTTCGGTCGCACCGCTATGCGTGTTGCGGCTAAGAACGGACACTCTCAGATCATTAAATTACTGGAAAAATATGGGGCATCAACTCTGAACGGTTGTACCCCATCTCCAGTGCACACAATGGAGCAGAAGCCCTTGCAGTCGGTCTCCTCTAAAATGCAGTCGCTCACGATGAAGTCGAACAGCTCGGGGAGCACCGGCGGAGACATGCAGCCCAGCATGCGGGGCCTGTCCAACGGGCCCGCTCACGCCTTCAGTTCCCCTTCGGAATCGCCCGACTCCACAGTTGACCGCCAGAAGTCGTCTTTATCGAATAATTCCCTGAAAAGCTCCAAAAATTCTTCTCTTCGTACCACATCCTCGACTGCAACCGCTCAGACGGTGCCCATCGATAGCTTCCACAGCATGTCGTTCACGGAGCAGATCCAGCAGCATTCCCTGCCGCGCAGCAGAAGCAGGCAGTCTATCGTTTCTCCTTCGTCCACAACTCATTCCCTCAGTCAAAATCACAATTCTCCAAGTAGCGAATTTGAGTGGAGCCAAGTGAAACCCAGTTTGAAATCAACTAAAACAAACAAAGGGGGGAAAACGGACAACTCCAGCAAATCTGGGTCAGGTGGGAAGAAAGGAAAGCAGAGTAGTTCCTCTCAACCAAAAGTGTTAGAGTATGAAATGACTCAGTTTGATAAACGAGTACCCGTTGCCAAATCGGGGGCGAGCGTGCCGCACAAATCCATGCCAGCAGAACCGCAGTGCAAAATTCTGGTCCCTCCCGCTCAGCAAGAAGTCGGTCGGTCTCAGCAGCAGTTCCTCATCCACCAACAGAGTGGAGAGCAGAAGAAGAGAAATGGAATTATGACAAATCCAAATTACCATCTGCAGAGCAATCAGGTTTTTCTTGGTAGGGTTTCTGTGCCGCGAACTGTGCAGGATAGAGGGCATCAGGAGGTGCTGGAGGGCTACCCTCCCGCGGAGACAGAGCTCAGCCTTAAGCAAGCCTTAAAACTTCAGATTGAAGGTAGTGACCCAAGCTTCAACTACAAGAAAGAAACACCGTTATAAAAGGTAACCCACCTAGTTGCGAAGGAGTCAAATGTGTGTGTGTGTTTCACTGTTTGCATTTTAAATGAGTCCAAAATACATTTCATTGTAGGATATCATCATAATTGCTTGCTTAATGAAATATTAAAACCTTAACCTAGCAGGCATTTGTTCTGTTGTCCTTATAGGAATTGGATAGCTGTTAAGTTTTCTGCTGAATTTGGGTTGGTTGAATTGTGCCCCACATATGTAACTGAATAAAATAACATATTTCACTTAGAACTGAACTGTAATTATCTTTTGGAATATAGGGCAACTTTATAGGGCAAATTTTCAAATGTGCTATTTTCAGACATAGTCTGAAAATGGCAGGTGAAATCCTGCCATTGTGTCTATCGAGCCTGTTGTCATAATTACAAAAAGGCCTTTCAATAAACTTCCAAAGATTCCTGCGTGTTAGAAACCTCCATTTTACTTTTCGTTGGCTGTAGCTTTCAAACATGAAATCTCACTAGCATAATTATCTACAAATTTAAAAGTTGAAATATGACCTGAGGCAATAATTTTTTTTTTACTTCCATTACTGTGAAGTAACTGTTCTTGAAAAGAGATGAGGTACCTCCCAGGAAGATTAGATCTGTGTTATGGTACTAATTTTCTTCAGTTCAGACATTCTGCAGTTCTTAAGAATAAGATAAGAAAATCAGTAGGTTCATTTTGATTTCTTACTCCTTCCAATACCGAATTTTATGCTGAGAATGGAATTTTGTGTAGCTCTTGCAGACATATATTGTCAGTGAGGCAGCTGAAGGAGTAGAACTAATTTTCTCCCTCATCCTGATGTCTCATCCTGCGCTTTGTTTATCTTTTGGAAATGTTTTAGTAATATTTTGCATTTGAATTTTAATGAAGCACCATCTTTATGAAATGCATATATTTTCTCATTTTTTATTTCTGAAAACGTATTTTTTGTTTGTGAGAATCCTGCGTTTCCGACAGACCAAACTGCTGCTCTTCAGAGCAAAAATGTTGTCAATAGCTGACTCAGTTCTGCCGCAAGTCATCAAAGACTGCGGATTTTTTAGGACAGTTGCAGATGTTTCAGAATGCCTGAATGAGAGATTTTGAACTGTCAAAAGCACGTAGACTGTGTCTGTCCTCAAATGCCCTGAAAATAGAGCACAGTTTAGTGGGATGTGTTTTTTCTAGAATTAGTTGAGATCCCTTGAAAATTTTAGAAGGTTGTGATGTTGTGTAGGATCTGAATATGTTTTCTTGTGGTTAGCATTTTAGTTGAATCAAAATGTTTAAAATAAATATTCCAAAATATACCAGATCCTGTAGGTTATAAAATGCAAATATTAGCATTACTTTACTAAGGGGTGAGGTGTTAGCTTTCATCATGTTAAAATACTGCTTTCTGCTGACCCGTCATCAAAAGACCAATGCTGTTTGCGAGCACAGATAAAACAATCCTTTCTGTGCATTCTTTTCCATCTCGACTGACTGCAAAATACAAACAAAGAATCCAAGAATGTGAACAGGACACATGCAGTTTTAAAGCTCGAGCAGTTGGCCTTTGCCTTTCCTGGAGCAAACACTGCTTTTTGGAAAGTGCAAGGTTGATTTGCATGAAGTCCCTGTTTATGTGCGAAGCAGGAAAGGCGGCGGGTGACCAAAGGGCTCCTTGGCACGCTCTCTAGCCACGTACACAGCTTTGTTTTAAGGATGGCATTTCAACACCAATGCACACACCCTTGCTTGGTGCAGGCCGTAAGTTCCTGCCAAGTCTCAAGCGTGCAAGCTGTCACTTCCCCGAGCACCCCCGTCACCTGAACGGCATCGAGCCACAGGGAGCCCGTGGGTGCACGTGAGGAGCGGTGTTTCCTCCCCAGCCTTGCGTTACATTTGGGATGTTACACGTCGCTGTGAGGAGCACAGGGCTGCGCGGGTCGTAGGGAGGAAGGGAAACCCTGTCACTTGCCTTGGACACAAAATACTTCTCATTGCCGGTGCGCTGCTGCGCCTCTTTAACCTGTGCTAGAAATCATGTAGCTGTCTTTCTGACAACACTACGCTAAGGAATGTTTCGCGTGGCATGCTAAGGAATATTTGAAAACTTACCATTTTTGTTTTGTACTTCCAGGTGAATTCCGCGACGCTGCGGACGGAAGCGCTCCTGCTCGGGATGGTTGGTTGGCTGGCTGGGATGAAAGCACACAATGCCTGTTTAGTCCACCTAGAAGTTTAAGAATGTGATTACTACAGTGCAGTTACCTTAATTACTGTAACGTGCCTCCATTTTAAGGCTGCCTTCTCAGTATAACCCTCTGTGCTTCAGAAATTTATTTTGTGTACATTGTATTTAACACACCAAATGAGCACTTTTTTTTTTAATTGCAGAAAGATATATGCTGTGTTTCTCTGACAACAGCTGAAAATTGTAAGAACAAGGAATTCTGATTTCTTATTCAGAATGCTTGGAAGAGGTGCATGTGCCACAGTGAGCTGCGTAAGCCAAGGCGGTGCTTTTTGTATTTTTTTTTTCCCTGTGGCTAAAGAAAATAAGCAGTTTGTCACACTTGCATTGCTGTAATGTATGGTCACTTTCCTGTGTACTTCAAAAAGTTCTCTCCAATACAAATCTTGTAACAGTATTTTATAAATACTGTACTTTTGTGTTCTGTCTGTACAATAGCTGTTCAGTGGTAGCAAAAGGGTCAAGCTGCAACCATTTGCAAGACCTCTAGGATTTTTATGAAACACAAAATCCAGTATCTGGTATTGTAGCACCAGATCTGGATGGCAGACTGTGACCACTGAAAGTGATAGGCAAATTTGGTCTTGGACACCTGATATTAAATAGTCTTAATTATTGTTATGGTAATGAAGTAACTTAATATGAGTATGTCTTAGGTGCTAAGTAAAAAGGGTCTGGTCGTGTCTTCATGTATATCTTCCCACAGTAGAAACAGTCAGTTCTTTATTTTTCCAGGTGGAAGGACTCTGTTGAAAATGTCAAGTCCAAAACAAGTCCATGAAAGATACAGAAGCTTTGTTAATCAGGCTGAGAGAATATGTAGTGAGAGTATAATTTAAAAACAAAAGGTTCGTAACACCCTTGGCGGTGGAGTACAGAGATTGCTGAGTTAGTGCTGTCCTGAGATGGTAATTCTGTATAGCACAAATTTGTATGGATGTAGCTACTGCTTCCAGTCCTCAGATGGACTGTGGACAGCCAGTATGAGTATGCCTGTACCTGGAGCACGGTTAATCAGGAGCCTGGCTAGTCCATCTGTAGGTGAGGGAAAGCTGGCCCTCCTCTCTTACAGGAGGAAAATCATGCTTGTATAACGGAGTGAAAAATCCAGGCCATTGTATGTGAGAAGTGAACAGTATGACTTTTTCCTTTGAATGTGCATAACTTGCTTGCACTGCTGTATGAGTGAAAGAATGAAGCAAGTGATTATTTTCTCCTAAAAATGCAAGCTATATTCTGCTATTCACCATTACACAGCCTTGCTCTTTAGAAAATAAGGCTATTTTTATACATGAGTATTTCTTCCCAAGGGTTGATTTTCATCTTTTTCATACTCTTAATTCTGATCATTCCACAAATAAGATAATAGAAAGCTGAGGATATTTTTCAGAGGGGATAAATGAGATGTATGGCTATCCTTAAACTTTGATAAATGGCCCCTGATGTATATTTAGTACATATTTTGAGTCACTAAAGGGTTCGATGTCTTGTTGTTATGATTAACCATCATCGGAACATTTTTGAAGTTAGGTTTTGTTGTTGTTGTTGTTTAGTATCTTGCCTCTCCATTCTTCACTTGCTACTAAATATAAAAAGGAAATCTTTTATAGTGAGGCATTCGGTGCATAATCAAATTACATGTTAAAAGTTGACACACAGCAATATTAATTATTCTGAATGTTTCATGTATTGAATTTCTTGTCCCTGTGGGACAATTATAAAATTAACATAACAGGAGTCTTGCAAAATAGCCTTAAGAGAGTTAGTGGCTAAGTAAAGAGAGAGTACCAAAATGTTCTCAACAAGTTTATTCTGAACCTCAAGTACAGTGCACTTGCAATACTGTGCAAGAATAAAACTTTTCATAGTTATTAGATGTGTGCTTTATTCTGTGGGAGGGGATTCCTGAATGCTGACGTTCTTCTACTGACCTTGACTGTCATTGGGATTGTATTTATTTAATTTTATTGTGTTGTTATAAATGCACCTTGTGAACAGAGGACGTAAAAATATGGCCAGTTTCACAAGGGGCCGCAGTTTCTAGATAGCCTGATGGTTTGTGTGTGAATAATATTTACACTTGAAACACTTAGTGGGGAAACCCAAATCAGCTGACAGTAGACCCACTGAAAATGTTTTGAGAATGAAAATAACAATTCTTAAAGATTTTGGGCATCACTTTGGAACAGAGCATGAATTGCTTTAAAAATTTTGATTTTTCAAAAGGTCTGAGGCATTCCACACTGCTCTGGCTTGTGATTTTTAATGTCATTTGTGAGGTTTCTGCATACAAAGAAAAGTTGCTGTTCCCCCCGTTGTTCCCTCTCTTCTGTTCTGCTCTTTAACATCTGTACGGTCAAATGGAGGCGAATGGAGTTGCAGAGCTGTGACAGCACAGTTTCTTCCGTCAATGTAACAATGCTCACAACCTAAAAAAAAAAATGAATAAAACATGAATACTGTTTCTCTTCACATTTCACTGATCCTTCCAAGGTCATATCCACAAGCGTCTACTCTTCTTGATGGAAAAGCTAGGGAAAAGAGAGTTTTGTGGACACAAATATCAATATTGTGTGCATGTGGATAAGCTCTTCAAAAGAGAAATGCATTAAGAGGTATTGAGGCACAATGATGCATTTTTTTTGTCCTCTCTGTGATCAGTATTGAAAAAATTGCCATTTGTTTAAAATTAAAAAGATATTTTCCCTCATCAATTACTCTGCTATGCAAATGTCTGTTATGCTTAATATTCCCCATCTGAACTCCTCAGTTAACTTGGTTTGCAGATAGACT